TGTATATTCAGCTGCCTTTAAATGTCTCCACTTGGATGTCTAAAAAATAGCTCAATATGTCCAAAATAAATTCTGTGAGCCTGGGCGCCTGGGTGGCTCAGATGGTTAAGCGTCTGCCTTCGGCTCAGGTCATGATCCCAGGGTCCTGGGATCGAGTCCCGCATCGGGCTCCCTGCTCCTTGGGAGCCTGTTTCTCCCTCTGCCTCTCTCTCTCTCTCTGTCTCTCGTGAATAAATAAATAAAATCTTTAAAAAAAATAAAAAAAAAATAAATTCTGTGAGCCAGAACTTGCTCACGCCTTCTTCCCTTTTACTGTCTATATCCTTCCATTACTGCATCCCGTTACTTTTCCCGCCTAGTCATTCTCGGACCATCCAATTCCCTTTGCCTTACTGCCCATTTGTTTTCTGAACACTTCAGTAGCTTCCCAGCTACTTTCCTCAAGTTCTCTCCTCCCCCTCTAACCTGTTGTCCACATTGTAGCTGGAGGCTCATTGTAAAATCACAAGTTAATGCTGTCCATCTCCTGTGTATAACCTTTTGATGGTTTCTCTTTCTTCTTGGGCCAAAGACTGCAATTTTGGCTGGTCCCTGCCATATCAGGCTCCTGCTATCTCCTGTCTCCTTCAGGACTCTGGGCCCCTTGAGTATTGTTTGGCTCAGAGATGGTCCTCTGAGATTTGTGCAGTGGGTGAATGGCTGAATATCTTGTGTTAAGTAATACATGAATGGCAGGTCTATCTAGTTGCTGATAAAATCAGATATTAGACTTTTGCTGTTTCAGTGACTTTTCACCACTTTTTTTTTTTTTTTTAAGAGAGTGCGTGTGGGAGCACGAGGGAGAGAGAGAATCTTAAGCAGGCTCCATGCCCAGAGCAGAGCCAGTCGGAGCTGGTCGAAGCCCGTGGGGTGAGATCTCACAACCCTGAGATCGTGACTTGAGCTGAAATTAAGAGTCAGATGCTTAACTGACTGAGCCACCCAGGCGCCCCTCAACATTCTTTTACCAATTTAACACAATCAGTCTTGCCTTGAAAAAAATTGCAAGTTTATTATAAACCCAGACATTCAAAATACAAGCTAGCACTAAATGGTTTTGTTGTGAAATTGTGATCACAATATTAAATTCATTCTTTTCAGCCACCTCTTCACCCTTACCCACCCATCAGCCTCTTCTCCTTAGAAGACAGCAGTGAATTATCTTCAGAATATTTGACCAGTAGAGACACATTTGCTGTGCACGCCCCTATTCCCATACAAAGGTTGGGTAACATCCATTGAATTCCCTCTCCTTGCACAAACTAAAAACCAAAGCAAAAAAAAATTTTGGGGGGTAAAATTTTGATTATGCATTTCATACTGATGTGCACAAAAATGTCCCTTTGTCATTCTTCAGTCTTGAGATACTTATTGATTCTCAGATGGTTCTTGTTTCAGTTGGGGAGGTGTCAGGAAATAATCTCCTAGGAGGATTAGCCAGCAGTGCAATACCAGTGTATAAAAGAGTGTTTGCCTGCTGTAGTGGGTTATGAGCCCATGCTTTGGGGGGAGGTGAGCAGAACTGAGTTTGAATCCTGGATTTACCCCTGGGTAACTAAATAATGTTGCAGCAGATACTAGTTCAGAGGGTTGTTATGAGGATAAAGTAATACGGTTAAAGCACTTAGCATCTGGTGAACATGCAGCGTTTGTTAGCTGTGCACGCACATACCCAAACGAGCAGACAGAAAGCGGTATATTGTAATAGTATATTGACTGTATGCTTTATAATAACCAATATCAAAAGTTATATTTTATTGAAGAATTGTTGTCTCTTAGATTCAGATATTAAAATATTTACAGATGAGATGATTTTATGTCTTGGATTTGCTTCAAAATCTGAAAAAGGATGGCTCCAGTAGGGAGTGAAGGTATACGCAAACAAAACTGGGCATGCACTGATAGTCGCTTATGGTCTGTGAGCACCATGGGAGTTGTTATATTCTCTGTACATTTGTATAGATTTGAAATTTTCCATGATAAAAAAAAATTTTCAAATACATTAAAAATAGTTACTGAATAGCCTCTTAGAGTCATTCTTGTTCAAGGAGCCAGCTCTCAACTCACCTTCCTTTATTTCTTTTGGAGGAGTCACTGATTCCAGTGATCTGAGCAGAAAGACTCATGTTATTCTTTTATGACTCTCGGAATAGCTCAGTGGAAACAAAAGAAATAGAATTTCTGAATTTCCTTTGTCCTCAACCACTTGGGATGCCTCTCAATGAAACCACTGTGGGCATTTTAAGTAACCCTGATTACCCGGCAACAACAATGTATAAAATAACTCTTTCTACCCTTCTGTGCTTGTATGACAAAAGTTATAGCTATGAAATACGGGGGCTCAATGCGCTAATGAATGATGAGCCCGTAATTGTGTATTTGGCATTTTGGAATCTGAGCCTCTGCCCTGTATGAACTTGTAATCTTCATTGTGTAGCCTTGTTAAGTTTGGCTGTTGAGTTACATGTTGGCATTGAAGGCTGGGGAGCTACTGCAAAGCCAAAAACTGACCTCTGCCTATTTCAAAGTCAGAAGTCAAAGGATGATTTTTTTGCTTTTGCATTTTTTTTTTTTAAGTAAAAATAATGATTACCCTTAGAATGGAAGCTGATGGTGGCCATGAATGACTCTTTAACCTTTGGATCTATTTGACCAACCCCGTCAATGTTTCACTCTTTCATCTGGCTGCAAGCCGAGGAAAAGTATCATGATTGGGTCCATAACTGCCTTTCCGAAAGTAGTTTCCCTTCACCAGTGTCACCAAAGCAAAGAATTTGAGCTTATATTTCAGGATTCTTCTTTTCCCTCTGGAATCCATCTCTAAGGGGAAAAGCACATCCCTTTTTTAAGTGTAATTACTTTGGAACAAGGATCCCAGTGAGGTTTATGAAGCTTCCTTTCTTTCCCTAAAAATAAGACAGGCTCTGAGTTGGCCAGGGCAGCTCACTGTTGTCTGGCTGAAATGCTTCTGTTTATCTCTTGGGGCAGCACCTTCTGCCAGGCCCAAGCTGGAGCGAGGGAGGAGGAAGGCTTAGCTCCAGCTAAGGGGAAGACAGGTACACAGACAGAGCCTTCTGGAATACAGTGCAGGGTGTACCATCATTGAGGCATGAACTGGGTACTCTGGGGGCAGCGTTGACTATCCAGGGATATCGGGTCAGAACTTAGAGAGAAGGTGTGAGACATTTGGACCAAGGGCAGAACTGATAGCCTGGGATTATATTATGCTCTTAATTGAACCTCCTTGGGATCCCAATTCGGGAGTTTTGTCTGTTAGTTAGCACCTGGTATGAAACCAACAATGGCATTTCCCTCGGGCCTTATACAGTCCTGAGGAATGCCGAAAATGAGTCTGAAACGCCAGGATTGAAGTGTGGCCTTGGGCATCCTATGACGGGGATGAGTCGAGCCCCCTATACTGCTCAGTCTGTCTTCCAGGCAGTGAGGCCGTGTCCCCGGACTTCTCTGTGCAGAGGGCATGGTGCTGGGTGTCTTACAAAACTGATCGCAAGCACTTGTCTCTCCCAGAACAATTCCTGCTACCCATGACGGCAACTGAGTAATATCCAATTAAACCTCTTACTTGGGCTGTTAGTCACAAACTCTCTTGAGCAATCACAGGTCAGTTCTTGAGACCGTTGTAGGTTTCTGTTAGCACTTGTTTTCTGTTACCAAAGAAAATCCTTTACGAGTCCGTAGCAAGCTAACAGCTTTAGGAGAATTCAGAGACCCAGTACCCTTGTTTGGCAAGGTGAGAGAGCAGGCTCTGGGCGCAGGTCCACACAGGCCTGGCTGGCTGGGCTAGAACATGGTGCCGACAGAGGCCGCCCCCAGGCTTACTCAGATCCCCCACGGTCTTGCTCTCTCCTGGGGCGGCAGACTGTAATCTCTAACCCTGAACACGTCTGATGTGTGCCATCTGTCCCAGAGAAGCCAGACAACCAGGCGCTAATAGGGCAGAGGGTCTGTGACCATTCCTGGAAGAATGGCTGAGAAAGACCGTGCTCCTGGCAGTGGCCTCCCTCCCGAGGCCATGATCATAGTCATCCCACCCGCCACCCTGCATCTCGTGAGTCCTCCTTCACGTGGGCTCAGTAGGTCTTGCTTATATTGTGTGGGGGCTGTGGTGGAAGGAAACCGTTTCCTGAGAACGCTTGCTTGTTGGAAAGTGGGATTTTGTATGGAGAAGGGGAACGAGGCTGGGTCTGGTTTCGAGGGCAAAAGGCTTGCTTTTCTGAAGTGGGCGCTCAGAGACCCAGCACACCTTTGCTTACTCCCAGGGAGACTGCTGCCAGGGGCACACAAGCCGAGAGGAGGCCTGCTCTGCGTTCCCACTGATGTGTGCCAGGAAAACTCCTCTGCTTTCACCTCACTTATCAGGGATTCCTAGAAGACAGGACCTTGTTTTCATTCCTGGGTGTCTCCGGTGACCGCTCTCTGTGCGACCTGTGTGGTCAGACTGTACCAACTCATGAGCTCCCAGAGCACAGCTTGGAAACGGGTCCCGCCCGCGCTGGCGTCACCTGCCTCCTCTGAGCTGAAACGTGATCCCAGGCTGGACAGACGCCGAGTCTTTCCGTCACGCCAGGCCAACAGAACTGGATTCCCAGAGCAGGGCTAGGCACACAGAGCCATGAGGGCCCCGCCACAGCCCACGGTGGGGGTGAGGCTCCAGAAGGTCAGTCCTACAGCGACTGTGGGGACACCCCCGGGAGGGGGTACCATCGGGCCTCGGGGGGTTGTATGTGGTTAGCCTGTTCACAAGGGACCATCATCTAGGAACCATGAGGCAACTTTTGAGTTGACCTAAAGCTTTTTCCAAGAGAACCCCAGGAAGTTTGTTACCTTGGAGGTGTATGCAGGAAGCTTGCTCGGTGTGGTCTCCTCAGCCACCCCACGAGCCAGCCCATCAGGGTTTGGGGCCTGGCTGTTCTACGCATGTTGCACACTCTTTCTTCCAGAGATCTCAAATTGGACAACGTACTGTTGGACCACGAGGGCCACTGTAAGCTGGCAGACTTTGGGATGTGCAAGGAAGGGATCTGTAATGGAGTGACCACGGCAACCTTCTGTGGCACGCCAGACTATATCGCTCCAGAGGTGAGTGCCGCTTGGCCAATCCCGAGCATTAAGGTCACAGGCTGTTTCGGTGCGCTGAGCTCTATGGGCGCGTTGAAAGCTGGCACCTCCACACTCCCTGATGCCTCACTGGGTGAATGATGCCTGAAAATGTCCTTGGTTCCTATAAATAACAATTTGAGTTAAAAAATTTTTGCGTAAACCTTGCCATTGCTTTAGGCATTTGCCCTGAATGAGGACAAAGTGTGCTCTACTCCCAGCTATTTACTTTCCTCTTTGTCTCTACTCAGTGCTTTGATCCCAGCCCCATTTAGCAGAAGTAGAGAAAAGTTCCTCAGTCTTTCCCATGCGAGTGAGTGAGCCCAATCTCCTCCTCCCTCTACAGGGACACCATGCCAAAACCCTTTCTGTTTTGGATCTGCACATGCCATTACCTTGGCCAAAACAGGCCATAAATGTTTGATCACCTGGATGAAAGGTCCTCTGAGTTGAACCACAGAGAAAACAGACCACTCTCTAGAGATGAAATGAAACCTCTTTCCTAATCCATCATTTTCCCTAGTCATTCAGGACACATTCATTGATCAGATGTTCTCACCTTGGCCCCCTCTGCACAGATCCTCCAGGAAATGCTCTATGGACCCGCAGTAGATTGGTGGGCGATGGGCGTGTTGCTCTACGAGATGCTCTGTGGTCACGCACCCTTCGAGGCAGAGAATGAAGATGACCTCTTTGAGGCCATCCTGAATGATGAAGTGGTCTACCCTACATGGCTCCATGAAGATGCCACAGGGATCCTGAAATCTGTAAGTTTGGTTTACCCAGCCAGCTTCTGGCCTACTGCAAACCAGCTGGCTGTGTACTTCTTTGTGTTCTTCCAACACCTCGCACTGGTAAGCTCCCAGTGCTAACTGCAGTATATGTTTTAATCTGCAGAATCAAAGAACCAGAATGTTTTCCTCTGGTTATGCAATAGTTCTTTCTGGGCCAACTGCGAGCCGTTGATAACGTTGTTTGCCAAATATCAAGTATTTCTAGCACTTTGGCTCTAGCGTAGGTGAAGTAATGCACCCCCTTTAAACAGTCAGGACACGCCAGGGGGTTGGGTCAGGTGAATGCCATTCCTGCTTTGTTTGGGTATTGACTGTGTTTCTGGGATGAAGGGGTCTTTCCCTTAGTGCTGGGCGAGGCCAGGAGAGGTTTTCTAAACTTCTGCAGATCCCTTTTGGGTCCACATTATCCTAATGAATAATAAGTGAGGTGCCAGGCCCAGGATTCATGTGCAGTGAGGTTAATGTATCATGAAAAGTCTTTCTCGTGTACATTTAAGGTACCATGCTGGAAGCCTTATTTTGAAGTGAGGAGGAAACATGGATTTGATGCCTTTATGTTGAAAATAAAAAAGCACATGTGATCTGTGTCATTCCTATAACCACGTTAGTTGAATTCACAAAGCATGTATTATCGCCTACTAGATGCATAGGGGAATAAAGATGGATAAAAGGTCAATTCTTCAAGTAGGGAAAAATCAGGATAATCCATTCTCTGTCAGATAGTTTCTAGGGGATAAGAATTACTTTCCTTAAGTTATACCCTTTCCAGTAATTTGAGACAGAAAACTAAATTTGGGAAATATTGGCTATCTTGTTGGGAGACTTATCTCTCTTTAGAAATCTTCAGTGATATAATCCATGCCATTTCAAGAACATTTTATATGCCGGTCACTGTGTACTGGGGCTGAAGGCATGACTGTCCCTGAGAATTCTCCTTATCACTAAAAGTGAAATAGTCATAGAAATACTTCTCAGGCAAATATTGCCAAAGTGAATTGTAATTGGTAACTTGATTCTCAAGGTTAGGTGCCAGTATTCTCCTAATATTGAGGAAACACTAATCTCTTATAGAAACAAAAGTGAAGTCACTTTGGATTCTACCAAATGTCTCCTACCTAGCATGTTTTCACAAGAACAACTGATTTGTATCGTTGGTAGAAGTTTTAGACTGAGGAAACAAAGACTGTGGCTTTTATGACTTCATGAATAAAAGACGGAGGAAGGCTTGTCTCTGTGGATTCGTGCCCTGAAGTGTCTTAACTTCTGGAAGGGAACTGTACTCACCTAGGTTGGCCCCAGCCAACTCTGATGACCTAAGCTACTTTAACACAACCTAATCGTGCTACAGAATCGGGCTTATGTTGCATTATTACTTTTCCAGTACCGTGGTCCATAATCTGGCTCTTCAGGCACGCTAACCCCCTGTGGCTGACAACCGCCACCGTTGTTCTATTCATTGTTTTTCATGGTGCACATATTTAATTCAATTGCTGTAGCCTATTTAGCATTTTTAATACTTAAAAGAAAGACCTCAGAGTTTATAATTCAAATGAAAATACTAGTTTGAACTATAAAGAAATGTGCATCGTTGGCTTGGTATATAAATGTCATTATGCTTAGTACGGTGAAGGGTAGGAAATAAAAATCAGTCTGTGCCTCAAGAAACTGTAATGTTCTCTGTGTAGGGTTAACAATCCAGATCATCATTTCTCTGATAAATATCTCCTACCTTTTGTCTGAATCCAGTGGAAATCTTGAGGTCCCCTTATCATTTGAGTTGGACATCACTCACATGTGTGTCTCTTAATTTTTTTCTTCAAAATTTTAGAAGTCCTTAACTTTATTCTAGTATTTCAGAATCCTCTTGAGAGAGTTTTTCCCAACTAAATCTGGGACCTAGATCTTACTCCCCCTCACCCAATCCCTATAAAACCTAGAATGGGTACTAAGCAAGATTAAGAACCATATGGAACTATTAAGATGGTTTCTTCTTAACCAGATAAGTCTAATTACTTTAAACTGTATCTTTGATATATATATATATGCATTTTGTGTGGGTTTTTTTTTTTTTTTTTGGTAACTAGAATATTTGTTATCTAGTAATATCCTCCCTCCGCAATCTTTGTTCTAAGAGAAAACAGAGCCTCTGGTGCCCAAAGAGAAGCTAATCTTCATTGGAGACTGAGTTTTACCCTCTCCTTGCAGATTTGCTCCTGGGAAGCTGTGAACCTCTTCGCTTTCCTTTATTTTTCTTTCAGACACCAGTTGCTCAACTGAATAGAGACAGCACCTGAGATTGTGATATGTCACTGACCTTGCAGTGATTTTCCTAAGTGGCATTCTATGTTCTTGGTGGGGTGTCTCCCCATAGGAAGGAGTGTGGGCTTCACTTGGTGACAGGCTTACCTCCCAGCTCTATTCTGTTTTGACTTGGTGACCTGGGTGAGCTACCACACCTCTCTGAATCTCAGTGTCTTTGCTTACAAAATCAAGGTAATAAAATCCACGTCATAAGATTATTATCCAGAACACCATAAGGATTCTATTTCTTCTTCCTTCAAGGAGCGTCCCTTAAAAGTGATTTTCTGGAGAAAGTTTAGGCAAGCCTAAGAATGGCGGGCACGGGCTTAGTTGCCGGAGAGGTTGTGGTAGATGCGCTGCCGTATTTTGACCAAGGTTACGAAGCGCCGGGTGTGCGGGAAGCGGCTGCGGCGCTGGTGGAGGAGGAAACCCGCAGATACCGACCTACCAAGAACTACCTGAGCTACCTGACAGCCCCGGATTATTCTGCTTTTGAAATATGAACTTCCAGCCCCTTCCTCGGGTCAGAAAAATGACATTACTGCGTGGCAAGAATGTGTAAACAATTCTATGGCCCAGTTAGAGCATCAGGCAGTTCGAATTGAGAATTTGGAACTAATGTCACAGCATGGATGCAATGCGTGGAAAGTATATAATGAAAATCTAGTTCATATGATTGAACATGCACAGAAAGAGCTCCAGAAGTTAAGGAAACATATTCAAGATTTAAACTGGCAGCGAAAAAACATGCAACTCACAGCTGGATCTAAATTAAGGGAAATGGAGTCAACTTGGGTATCCCTGGTCAGTAAGAATTATGAGATTGAAAGGACTATTGTGCAATTAGAAAATGAAATCTTTCAAATGAAGCAGCAGCATGGAGAGGCAAACAAAGAAAACATCCGGCAAGACTTCTAAAAAGACAGATGACCTTGCTGGGGAGAAAGGAAGGCAAGTTGGGCTTTCACAGAAGATCAGGCATCTGAACTGTGAGGGAGAACAGCATCTTAAGGAAATCATCAGTGGTTAAATGTTTATTTTAGAGTGTGGACTGTTAAATTTGTACATTTTAGCAAAATAAAAACTTTCAGCTCGGTGAAAAAAAAAAAAAAAAGTGATTTTCTGAAAAACACTTGCAAAGGTATCAGATGAAATTACTAAAAAGCATTCACCCAGAGGATTTCTGGGACAGCTTTGTACATTTC